GTGTGTGTGTGTGTGTGTGTGTGTGTTTGTGTGTATTCTTCGTGACTATGAAAGGAATATAACAGGCTGGGCGTGGTGGTTCACTCCTGTAATCCCAGCAGTTTGGGAGGTTAAGGTGGCTGGATTACCTGAGGTAATGAAGTTTGAGATCAGCTTGGCCAGCATGGTGAAACCCCATCTCTATTGAAAACACAAGAATTAGTGGATCATGGTGGTTGGATACCTGTAATCCCAACTACTTGGGAGAGCGAGGCAGGAGAATTGCTTAAGTCCATGAGGCGGAGGTTGCAGTGAGCAGAGATTGTGCCATTGCACATGGATGACAGAGCAACACTAGGAAAAAAAAGAAAGAAAGAAAGAAAGAGAAGAAAAAGGAAGGAAAGAAAAGAAAGAAAGGAAGAAAGAAAACTATGTAACTTACAAATTTGTTTTACAAAATCTGAAAATCACATAAGGAAAGGGCAATCATCCACAATCCCAGCACTTTATCATTTTCCCAAACATCTACACAGATCCTCTTATTTTTAAAAAATTGAGGTTCTAGGCCATGCGCAATGGCTCACACCTGTAATCCCAGCATTTTGGGAGGCTGAGGCAGGTGGATCGTGAGGTCGAGAGATTGAAACCATCCTGGCAAATGTGCTGAAACCTCATCTCTACCAAAAATACAAACATTAGCTGGGTGTGGTGGTGTGCACCTGTACTCCCAGCTACTCAGGAGGCTGAGACAGGAGATTCACTTGAACACAGAAGGTGGAGGTTGGAGTGAGGCAAGATCATGCCACTGCACTCCAGACTGGGTGACAGAGCGAGACTCTAAAAAAAAAAATTGAGGTTCTACACATGGTTTGTTCATCTGCCTTTAAAACCTTTTTGCTGGCCAGGTGCAGTGGCCCATGCCTGCCATCCCAGCACTTTGGGAGGCCAAGGTGGGAGGACCGCTTGAGCCCAGGAGTTTGAGACCAGCCTGGGCAACACGGCAAAACACCTTCTCTATCAGAATAAAAATTAGCTGGGTGTGGTGGCATACACCTGTAGTCTCAGCTACTCAAGAGGCTGAGGAGGGAAGATCACTTGAGCTCAGGAGGTTGAGGCTGCAGTGAGCTGTGATCATGCTGCTGCACTCCAACCTGGGTGACAGACACTGTCTAATAAAAAAACAAAACAAAAAACAAAACAAAAACAAATAAAAATGGTGCCCATTGGTGGCAAGGATGATAAAAATAAGTGTGCTGATGAAAAGTGATATTTCCAGCCACCTAAAAGCAAGGCTGAGAGAGAAATGCACCAATCCACCCTGGCAGAATGAGGAGCTGTGGTTCCCTGGTCAAGGGCCATGGCCTGGGGTGGGTTTAAAGTCGTGTGGGTTCTGTGGCTACCCAGGGCTGCAGCAGCCTCAGTCACTGTCCTGATTTTATGGATCAGGAGCTGAGGTCACACCAGGCTGGCCCTGGGGATGTCACACTTACCCAGTTTGTGATGGGTCAGAAGTCTAATTTCCCTTCTTTCCCTACTGCAGTCCTGGAACGCTGCTACGATCCATTCACTGACCCAGCTAGGGAGGGCCTCTGAGTCTTCTGTAGTGCACGCACCTTTGGGCAGGAGGGAAAAAAATCCCTGAAGCCTCTAGTGTCTTGAGTCTGTGCATGTTCACTTATGGAGCCCTGCTTTAGAGGCGGGACTGGGTGGAGGCTCTCTCTCCTTCATGCTTGTGTGCATGCACTTGTGTCTCTATATGGGCATTCATGTGTGTGTGCATCTGTGTGTGTGCATGTGTCTATGTGTGGATGTGTGTGCCTGTGTACATGTGTCTGTGCATTGTGTGCACATATGTGGCTGTGTGCATGTGTGTGTGCATCTATTCATGCATGTGTGCACATACATTGTGTGTGCACGTGAATGTGTGTGAATGTGTCTGTGTATGCATGTGTCTGCATGTGCATGTCTGTGTGTCTATGTGTGTCTGCATGTGTGTGTGCCTGTGCATGTCAGTGTGTCAGTGTGCATGTGTGTCTATGTGTGTGTGTGCATGTGTGTGTGTGTGCATGTGTGTGTGCATGTGTGTCTGTGCATAGAGGTGAGAGGGGAGGCAGTGCCCTGGATCTCTATAGGTAACTAAGAGGTCAGTGATCTCACATGGAGTAATTCTGCACCCCCCCCCAGGGAACCCTGGAGGATGTCTTCGAACATTTGTGGCCATAACATCTGGAGGTGTTCCTGGCATGGAGCAGTTAGAGGCCAGGGACTCTGCTTAGCATTTTGCAGAGCCCAGGATGGCCCCACCTCAGAGAGCCATCTGGAGCTGGTGTCTGTAATGCTGGGTTGAGGAAGAAACCCTGGCTTGAGAATGTGCATGTGCAGCCACCTCCTCCCTGCAGCCAAGACCCAGGAGCATCTGAGAGAGCTGGACTCAACCTCCCCAGCTGGGCTGCAGGGTGGGAGGTTTCCTGCTGACCTCAGCATCCTTCGCCTCCAACACAGCCCCTGGAGTGCAGGGCTGCTGAGAAAGCATGGTGTGTGCATGGCCCCGACTTCAGCCCAGGAGCAGTGCCCATGAGGCTCTTATTTGTCTCGGTGGAAAAATCCCATTGGTTTGTGGAAATGGCAAGTGTTTCTGAAGAAAGAGAAGCTAGGCAGGCTTTGGAGACCACAGGGGACCTTCAGGGCAAGAGGAAAACAGCCTCGGCCACGTGAGCCCAGCCCAGCCCAGCCTTGAGCAATTCAGGAAGTTGGGCCTGGGGTGGCGGTGTCTCTTGATCTTGCCAGGCAAGATCACTGCAGAGCGAGCCATCCTACCTGGGACAGGGCCTCCCCTAGAGCTGAGAGTGATGCAGCTCCTCTCTTTTTTTTTTTGAGACAGAGTCTTGGTGTGTCATCCAGCCGGAGTGCAGTGGTGCCATCTTCGCTCACTGCAGCCTCTGCCTCCTGGGTTGAAATGATTCTTCTGCCTCAGCCTCCCAGATAGCTGGAATTACAGGTGCATGCCACCATGCCCAGCTAATTTTTGTATTTTTAGTAGAGACGGGGTTTCACCATTTTGGCCAGACCGGTATTGAACTCCTGACCTCATGATCCCCCTGCCTTGGCCTCACCAAAGTGATGGGATTACAGGTGTGAGCCACCATGCCTGGCCAGCTCCTGGCTCTGACAATGGGGCTGGCAGCTCAGCAGCAGAGCAGTGGTAGCCTAAACAGAGGCACAGAACCAGGCATCTGGCCTCACTGTGTGCAAGTCTCGGCTCCATGACCTTGGCTGGTGTGGACGCTCAGCAAGGCAGGGACCTCTGCCTGCCTTGGGCCTCCTTGTCCACAAAATAGGAGGCTACATTGTAGCTGGAGGGGACAAATGGCTGCCTGCCTTTCCCTCCAGGCCTTGGTGGAAGTCAGCAAAGACCACCAGGTGCTCTTTGTGTCCCCTTCATGATCCGTGAACTCTGCAGCAGAGATGGATAAGGGGCCCAGCTCTATCCAGGGTCCAACTTGGAGGAGAGGATTCCATTCTATGGAAAACAATAGCTCCAAAGGGCCCAAGCCTACTCCACCCCTGGAGCCCACCCTAACCCTGAGTCCCATCATGGGGCCATGGAGCTGTCCTTTTCTTCCCATTGACCTCCTGGCCCCAGCAGCTCACATCAGACCCCAGGCCGTCCTATCCCCTGTATACCTGTCATTTCCAATATTCGGGGTTAATTGGTTTGTCCCCCAGTTTTCATTTTCCACCTCTCTTTGCCAGGCACGTGGCTTCCATAAAACTTAAATAAGAGATGGAAAAACAGCCAAGTATTCCAAGGGAAGGCTCCATTTCTGGATATTTTGTTTTTCTTGCACTGGTGTGTCTGATTGACTGAACTTTGATAGTAGGGTTGCGGCCTCCTTGTTCAGAAATAGAATAACACAAGTTTCTAGAAGATAATTTGCCCTGATTCCCTAGAAGAGAGATATCTATGTCCTTTTCAAATGGATCAGTGGTAAAGAATAAAGCAGACCTGCCCCCATTTCCTGCAGAGGGCACGACCATTTGGAATTCCCTTGCCTCATTTTTGGTGTCAGCAACATGGGTCCCCACGAACAGCTGGAGGAAGCTCTGTGGGTTCCTTGCAAGTAAAAAATGTCACTATGCTTTTCTCTTTCTCTCTCCTTTTTCAAACAGTGTGTACAGCAATCGGTGATTCCTGGGGAAACTAAAAAAGGTATGTAGCATTTCTCTTACATCATGAGTTGGACTCTCTTGTTTTTCAGGAAAAGGAACAAACAACCGTCAGTCTTTTATTCATGCCTGACACATCAGGAGGCTGAGTCATCCCATAAAAGGGCTCTGACTCAGAGCCAGGAAACCTGAGTTCAAATCCCAGATCCTCTTCCATCAGCTCTGCCCTGTTTGGGTGGGTTCCTGTCAACTGTCTGCAGTGGAGATGAAGTTCTCCATGCTGCAGGAAGGTTGCTAAGATTGAACAAGGATGTAGGTACCAGAATATAAAAGTGGCCAGGTGCAGTGGCTCACATCCGTAAGCCCAGGGAGGTGGGTCACCTGAGGTCGGGCTTTTCAGACCAGCCTGACCAACATGGCAAAACTCCATCTCTATTAAAAATACAAAAATTAGCAGGGCATGGTGGCAGGTGCCTGTAATCCCAGCTACTCAGGAGTCTGAGGCAGGAGAATCACTTGAACCTAGGAGGTGGAGGTTGCAGTGAGCTGAGATCATGCCACTGCACTCCACCCTGGGGTATAGAGTGAGACTGTCTCAAATATATATATATATATATATACACTAAATATATGTATTATATATATTTATGTGTGTAAAATATATGTATATATTTTACTTTTTTATACACACACACATATATATAGATGTATACACAATGGTGTGCACCTGTAGTCCCAGCTACTCAGGAGGCTTGCTTGAGCCTGGGAGTGCAAGGCTGCAATGAGCCATAATGGACTTATTGCAATGAGTCCATTGCACTCCAGCCTAGGTGACAAAGCAAGAAAATCCGCTATCTTAAAATATATATATATATATACACCCAGTGTTGTGGTGGCACATGCTTGTAATCCTAGCATTTTTGGAGGCTGAGGTGGAAGGATCGCTTCAGCCCAGGTGGTGGAGGCTGCAGTGAGCTGTGAACGCACCTCTGCACTCCAGGCTCAGCAAAGAGTGAGACCGGGTCTGTAAAATAAAGAAAGAAGATGTATATAAATTCTGAGCACCATGCTGGCATCTAAATCAGTATCTAAGAGATATGAGTGGAACCTGAAACCACATCTGAACTCTTTCATTTCTGTTTTTCTAAGAATTTGCCTATTTAATGTAGATGATCTCATTGGGTGTCCTACACTGGTACATAATACTGCAGTCCTCTCTGATCATGCTTTTTATTTCCATAAGGTTGGTAGTAACATCCCCCTTTTGTTTCTGCTTGGATTATTTGTGGCTTATTTCCTTTTTGTTGTTGTTTAGTTTAGTTTTGCTTTGCTTTTGGTCAGCCCACTACAGGTTTGTCAATCTCATAGCACTTTTCAAAGAACCAATTTGGTTTCATCAATTGGACAGTTTTTCTTATTTCTGTCTCATTATCACTGCTCTGATCTTTACAATTTCCTTCCTTCTGCTGGCTTGGGGCTACTTTTGTTCTTCCTTTTCTGGTTCCTTAAGGCAAGCACTCCTCAACCTTTTTGGCAGCAGAGAATGGTTTCCTGGAAGACAGTTTTTCCTAGGACAGTGGGAAGGCAGGTGTTGGGGAGCAGGGAGGATGGTTTGGGGATGATTCCAGTGCATTACTTTTATTGTGCACTTTAATTCTGTTATTAACATTGTAATACATAATAAAATAATTCCACAACTCACCATAATGTAAGATCAGTGGGAGCCTGGAGCTTGTTTTCTGCAATGAGATGGTCCCTGGGCCAGGCACTGTGGCTCACACCTGTCATCCCAACACTTTGGGAGGCTGAGGCAGGAAGATCACTTGAGGTCAGGAGTTCGGGACCAGCCTGGCCAACATGATGAAACTCTGTCTCTTCTAAAAACACAAAAATTAGCTGGGCATGGTGGTGGGGGCCTGTATTTCTAGCTACTTGGGAGACTGAGACAGGAGAATCACTTGAACCCAGGAGGCGGAGGTTGCAGTGAGCAGAGATTGCACCACTGCACTCCAGCCTGGGTAGCAGAGTGAAACTCCATCTCAAAAAGAAAAATAAATACAGAAGATCCTTCACTCACTCGACCACCTCTCACCTGCTGCTGTACAGGCTGGCTCCTAACAGGCCACGGAATGGTGGTACAGGTCTGTGACTCAGGGGTTGGGGATCCTTGCCTTAAGGTGTAAGGTAAAGTTGTGGAGTTGAGATCTTTATCTCTTCCTTTTGCAGGGGATCACAGGCAGCAGCTGCTCTCAGCACTGCCTGTGCCATATCCCATACATTGTGGTTAGGTTGCATTTCTGTCTTCCTTCCTTCACGTTGGGGTAATTTCTAATTTCCCTTGTGGTTCTGTCTTGGGCCCATTGGCAGTTGAAGAGCATCTTGTTTAATTTCCACATATTCCATGATCATCTCAGGAAGGAAAGCAGAATCGTAAAGCAATTCTCACCAGGCACAGTGGCTCACACCTGTAATCCCAGCACTATGGGAATCCAAGGCTGGTGAATCACCTGAGGTCAGGAGTTGGAGACCAGCCTGGCCAACACAGTGAAACCCATATCTACTAAAAATACAAAATAAGCCAGATATGGTGGTGTGCCTGTCATCCCAGCTTCTTGGGAGGCTGAGGCAGGAGAATCATTTGAACCTGGGAGGCAGAGGTTGCAGTGAGCTGAGATTATGCCATTGCACTCCAGCCTGGGTAACAAGAGTGAAACTTCATCTCACAAAAAAAAAAAAGAAAGAAAGCAATTTTGGTTGGGTATGGGCTTCTGGCCCCTGATCTTGGGAGCCTTTAGGAGGCTGCATGTCCCTTGGAGCTTGATGATGAGGTGGAGGCAGGGCTGGTTTGGGGTGGGGACTTTACTCTAGATTCTAGAACCAACAATCTGATGGCAGTGTCACTTGCATGGGGCCAGTGGTGGGCACCTGTAGTCTCAGCCACTCAGGAGGCTGAAGCAAGAGAATTGCTTGAGCTCAGGAGTTTGAGGCTGCAGAGAGCTCCCATAGTGAAGCCCTGTCTCCACCTAAAATATCAAAAATAAACCAGGCTTGGTGGTATGTGGCTTTAATTCCAGCTACTCAGGAGACTGAGGCAGGAGCATCACTTGAACTCAGGAGGTAGAGATTGCAGTGAGCAGAGGGGGACAACTGCACTCTAGCCTGGGTAACAGAAGAAGACTCCATTTCGAAAAAAAATATAGACGACCTCTTTTTGACAACAGTCTGACCCTGATGTCAGTGGTGCTGAGACTGAGAGACCCTGGTCTAAGGGATGTTCTGGCCAGGAGCAAGCTTTTTGGTGAAATGTGCACATTGCTTGTATCTTGACAGGTTCAAGTGACAAAGCTGGGCAGGCTGAGGCCACCAGAGGGTGGCCTGGGTCCCTGTTCCTACCACACACCTTGAATCCTCAATGGCAAGGCAGCTCCAAACCCAAGGGGCCCCAGGGGGGCATGAGGTCTGACATGAAGGTTTGGCAGGAAATTGCCAGGACCCCTGGAGACAACCCTGACTCTGGCACTGACCCAGCTATGTCTGGCTCAACACTTGACACTCAAACTCAGCAAAGGGCAAGAAAGCAATTTCTTTTTTTTTTTTTTTTGAGATGGAGTCTAGCTCTTATTGCCAAGGCTGGAGTGCAATGGTGGGATCTCAGCTCACTGCAACTTCTGTCCCCCAGGTTCGAATGATTCTCTTGCTGTAGCCTCCTGAGTAGCTGAGTGTACAGGTGAGTGCCACTACACCTGGGTAATTTTGTATTTTTAGTAGAGACAGGGTTCCTCCATCTTGGTAGGGCTGGTCTCAAACTCCCGACCTCAGGTAATCTGCCTTCTTGGCCTCCCAAAGTGCTGAAATTACAGGCATGAGCCATGGCACCTGGCCCCCTAGTGCTTTCTAACTTGCTTTGATTGAAAATGGTTCTGCAGCTTTGCCTTTTTTTGTTGTTGCTTGTTTGCTTGTTTGTTTAGAGACAGGGTTTCACCTTGTTTGCCAGGATGGTCTCCATCTCATACCTTGTGATCTGCCTGCCTTGGCCTCCCAAAGTGCTGGGATTACTGGCGTGAGCCACTACCCCCAGTGGGCTTTGCCTTTTTTCAGATCCTGTTAGTCTGAGGCTGGATTGGCCCCTGGGGTGGCAGGTTTCCTAGCACATGGGCACAGCTCTGGGGTGTGGGATGGGGGATCAGGGCAGAGGTTCGTGAGGGGGCAGTGCCTGCAGAGAGAGGAGGTGGAATGGTGCCCTGTAGCCAGAGTACAGGGGTGTCCACCTTTCTTTCATTCCAAAGTTTTTTCTTTAATAGCTTTATTGAGACATAATTTACACACCATAAAATTCACCCTTTAAAAATGTGCAATGTGGCTGGGTGCAATGGCTCACACCTATAATCCTAGCACTTTGGGAGGCTGAGTTGGGGAGATTGCCTGAGATCAGGAGTTTCAGACCAGCCTGGCCAATGTGGTGAAAGCTCATCTCTACTAAAAATGGAAAAATTAGCCAGGCATAGTGGCAAGTGCCTGCAATCTTAGCTACTCCGGAGGCTGAGGTAGGAGAATTGCTTGAACCCAGGAGACAGAGGTTGCAGTGAGCTGAGATTGCACCACTGCACTCCAACCTGGGCAACACAGTGAGACTCGATCTCAAGAAACAAAAGTGCAAGTCAATGGTTTTTAGCACATGCACAGAATTGAGCAACCATCACCTTTATCTAATTCTAGAACATCCTATCACCTCTAATAGAAGCCCTGTGTCACCCTAAACAGTCACTGCCCGTCTCCCTCCCGCAGCCCCGCCACCCTCACATCCCCTTCTGTGTATGGGCCTGTCCCAGACATTTCATAGAGATGGGATCACACACTGTGGGGTCTTCTGTGTATGGGTCCTTTAGCAGAGCATGATGTCCTCAAGGTGCATCCACGCTGTGTCCTGTGGCAGAGCCTCATTCCTTTTCATCACTGAGTAATGCTCCATGGTGGTATTTGCTGTAAAAGGTGGGACAGGATGGACATTTCAATGGTCCTCTGATGTCTGACAATGCTCTTCACCCTGATTAGGGCTCATCCTAATTGTTGACAAATGCTTGCTGTGGACTTGCTGTGTGCGAGGCCTGGGGTAGCAAACCTCTCTGCAGAGATCCAGAAGGTGAATGTTTTAGCCTTTGCAGGCCAGACAGTCTAACACTGTAGTGGGAAAGCCACCATAGACAATATATAAACAAGTGGGTGTGGCTGTGTGCCAATAAAACTTTATTTACAAAAACACACAGCCAGCTAGATGTGGCCCAGGGGCCATAGTTTGCTAACCCCTTGCTTAGGATAAAAGTTTGCAAACTCTCTGTTCCTGATGATTATTCCAAAGAGCTTTGGTTTATATGCCTTATATTTGTCAATAAATATTGTTGAATTTGAAATCAAAACTGAGAAAATGTCAAGTAGGTATTATTTCATCTTAAAATAGCAATAATAAGGCCAGGCACAGTGGCTCATGCCTGTAATCCCAGCACTTTGGGAGGCAGAGACAGGTGGATCACATGAGGTTAGGAGTTCAAGACCAGTCTGACCAACATGGAGAAACCCCATCTCTGCTAAAATTACAAAATTAGCCAGGCATGGTAGTGCATGCCTATAATTCCAGCCACTTGGGAGGCTAAGGCAGGAGAGTCACTTGAAATCTGTGAGGCAGAGGTTTTGGTGAGCGGAGATGCCATTGAACTCCAATCTGGGCAACAAGAGCAAAACTGCATCTCAAAAATAAGAAAATAAAATAAAATAGCAATAATAACCTCTCAGGGTAGCCAGAATGACATTTTTGTTTTTGTTTTTCATGGATAGTAACCGTTTCCTAAACAGACAAAAAAAATGTTCATGGAAATGCCAAAGAGAGACCAAGAAACTGTCAGAGCCTGGAGGAACCTGGGCAGATGTGATGGTTAAATGCCATGTGGGTTCCTGGATGGGGTCAGGATGGTGCGGGAAAGGACATGAGGAGAAAACTGGAGGAACCTGGATTGAGCTTGGCAGCATTTGATGAATAGGAAGGTCCCAGCATTACCCTGCTGTGAGTAATGCCTTGTAGTTACAGAGGACGGCCCCTTGAGGGAGCTGGTGAGGTGTGGGCGGGGACTCCCTCTTTGCACCTTTCCTGTAAATCTGAAATTACTCCAAATAAAATTGTTTATTAAAAAAAAAAGATAGAACAGGCCAGGGACGGTGGTTCATGCCTGTCATTCTAGCACTTTGGGAGGCTGAAGCAGGCAGATCATTTGAGGTCTGGAGTTCAAGACCTGCCTGGCCAACATTGTGGAGCCCTGTCTCTACCAAAAATTCAAAAAAGTAGGTGGGCGTGATGGTGCACACCTGTAATTCCAGCTACTCCAGAGGCTGAGGCAGGAGAATAGCTTGAACCCAGGAGGCAGAGGTTGCAGTGAGCTGAGATCACACCACTGCACTCTAGCCTGGGCACAGAGGGAGATCCTGCCATGCCCCCACCCCAACACACACAACAGATACAACAGAAAAAAAGTGGCTCAGTGCTTTGCAAGTGGGGATCAGTGAGGAGTGACCTGTGTCCTCAGTGCACTGGGATTGGCAGGGATTTGTGTAAGATGTAGAAGCCTGTGAGTGGAAGAGTGGATGGGAGGCCAGCCCTTCAGCTGGTTAGCAAATATTGACCCAGCACTCACTGTGCACCAGGGACAGGATGAGGCAGGTGGAATCAGGTCCTGTCCTCAAGTAGCATCTGTCACACAGAGAGAGCACATGCCCAGACACAGAGACAAACCAAACAGAGGGTCTTAGAAGATAACAAAATAGTCATGCATGTCATCCCAGCACTTTGAGAGGCCAAGGCAGGAGGATCGCTTGAGGCCAGGAGTAGGAGACTAGCCTGAGCAACACAGCAAGACCCCATCTCTACAAAAAATTTAAAAATTAGCCGGGCATGGTGGTGCACACCTGTAGTTCCAGTTACTCAGGAGGCCGAGGTGGGAGGATCCTTTGAGACCAGAAGGCTGAGGCTGCAGGGAGCTGTGATTACACAACTGCACTCGAGCCTGGGCAACAGAGCGAGACCTGTCTCAAAAAAAAAAGGAAAAGAAAAAGAAGCCAAAATAGAATGAGCTGGCACCAAGAGGAGAGACTGCCACATGGTGTCTGGGAAGGTCTCTAAGGAGGGGACATCCTTGCTGTCCACTGCTGGATGGGGAGGAGCATTGAAGGTAGGAGGAAAGGCATTCCTGAGGGCTCCCTGGAGGAAGAGGTCTGGGAGCCACAGGAGGGGGCCCAGGCCAGGACTTTCAGGGCTGGAGGTGGAGAGGAGGAAGAGGACAGTCATGAAGCATCATGACCCGGTGTCCTATAGAATGTCCTTGGTCTGAGGTGACCTAGTGTGGCTTCTTGGTGAGATTGATGGGGTCCTCAGGGCTCACAGCCCAAGGCAGGGTCAGAGCTGCAGGGCTGGGCCAGGCTCCATGCCTGGACAGCTGGTGAGCTCTGTCTCCCTGAAAGGCCCAGGTTCTAATCCAGTCCAGCGGTTCTCAACCGGCACAGGTCTGCCTCCAGGAGACTCTGGGTCATGTCTGGGACATCTGTGGTTGTCATGACTGGAGATGCTCCTGGCTTGGATGGGGGTCAGGGATGCTGTTCAGCACCCTGTAGTGCCCAGGACGGCGCCATCCCAGAGAGCAATCCAGCCCTGGACATCAGTGGCCTTGGGTCAATGGAATGCAACTAGGCTGAAATAAGCTAAAATTTTTCTGAGAGTCATGTGCTGGGCAGCATACTTGCAGAAGATTGGTACAAAGCTTTCATGCCAGAACCTTCTGGTTCCAAGACTTTCATTCACAGTTACCTGCATGACCAGGGAGGTCAGGGAGGAAGGGCTGCACTTTTCCCATGTCCCCAGATGAGGAAACAATCACAGGAAGAGGCTGGCAGAGCCCAAGTCCACTGCTCTTGGCAGCTCCTGGAACCATCTTCCCCAGGGCCTCTGGTCACCAGCCTTGCCCAAGAGCTCACCAGCTATGTTTTGTCTGTTTCATTTTTAATAGAGATGGGGTCAGCTGGGTGCAGTGACTCACCCCAGTAATCCCAGAACTTTTTGGGGGCTGAGTCAGGAGGATCACTTGAGGTCAGGAGTTTGAGACCAGCCTGGCCAACATGATGAAACCTCATCTCTACTAAAAATATGAGAATTATCTGAGTGTGGTGATGCATGCCTATAATCCCAGCTACTTGGGAGGCTGAGGCAGGAGAATTGCTGGAACCAGGGAGGTGAAAGTAGCAGTGAGCTAAGACTGTGCTCCAGCCTGGACAACAGAGCGAGACTCTGGGTCAAAATAGTAACAACAATAATAATAATAATAATAATAATAATAATAAACTAGAAATGGGGTCTCACTGTATTGCCCAGACTAATTTTGAACTCCTGAGCTCAAGGGATCCTCCCACCCCAGCCTTCTAAAGCACTGGGATCACAGGCATGAGCCACCATGCCTGGCCCACACCAGATGTGTTTAATCAAAGCAAGGTAGTCCTGCAGCTTGGTGACATCAGCAGGCCGTTGGCTACTGGTTGTTTTTTCCATCCTGCCCCATTCCCTGCCAGAACCAGGGGAAGATCCAGGCAGAAATCTGTCCCAGGTCACCAGGTCCTGGGGTGGCCCATCCAGATTTGGAAGGGATGGGAGGTGCCCGTTTGCTGACAGCCTTCACTGTGCTGGGCACATTGGTGGCTGAGCTGGGTGCATGATCTTGGGGACTCCTCCTGCTTCCTCCACCTTGTTGCTTTCTTGCAATGAGAATTTCCCACTGCAGGACAACCCAATAGCTCAGTGGTGGCTCTTTTGAATCTCATAGATGGAACACTGAGAGCAGTCAGTGGCTCCCAAGTACTGAAAGTGTCCCGGAAAGCTGGGCTGTTCCACACACTTTGCCCAGACAGACACTGAAGCCAGGAAAGGAGACCTTGGGCTGGAGCCAAGGTGCAAATCATACCTGCAAGTTCTGGATCTGCCAAAGGCTCCAGGGTGGACTTGAACCAGCAGCTGCCTGCCTCCTGCCTCAGTGCCTTGTTTAAAAGTGGAGGAACTCATGGCATTGAGAACCAATGTGCATTGTGAGATGGGGCCGCTGCTGTGGAAGCCAGTCTGGCAGTTCCTAAAAAGGCTGAACATAGAGTCTCCACATGACCCAGCAATTCCGCTCCTGGTTATGTGCCCAGAGGAATTTGAAGCATGTGTTCAAGTAGAACCTTGCCACAAATGTTCATACAGTTCATATGACTCACAGTGGTGAAAAGTGGAAATGACCCAAGTTCCCATCAGTCTGTGAATAGATAAAGACAGCGTGTCCCTCCACACAATGAAATGAGACTCAAAGCTGTTAAGAGTTTCTGATTTGCACCTTTTTCATTCAATATTCACCTGCCACCACAGTCTGAGTTTATTGGCATAGCCAGGGTCCCTTGATCTTTTCTTTTTTTCCCACATAATTAAATCAGGGTCTCTTCTGCTCAACTCGGTGGACATTTGGGGCTAGATTGTTCTCTGGGCTGGGGCTGTCTTGGGCACTGCAGGGTGCTGAGTGGCATCCCTGGCCTCTATCCACTCCATGCAGGGAGCAGTCTCACAACCACAGATGTTTGCAGACATTTCCCAGTGTCCCCTGGGGGCAGAATTGCCCCTGATTGAGAATTCCCCCAGGTTAGGGGAATCTACAGACCCTTAAGAGATTCTTTGTCCCATGATCATCATTCCTACTGAGGTCCCAGGAGGCTGCACACTTTAAAATTCACACCATGAATGGGGAGGGAGAAGGAGGTGAATTCCAAGAGCTGTGGGGGGTGCCCCTGGTTTTTGCCATGTGCCCATTAGAAGTTTATTCTGGTGCCTACTATGAGCAGGGAACAGACTGCATTTTTTCCAAATAATTAATGCAGGTTCTCCCCCACTCCAGGCAGTGTAGACACCTGCTGGTCCATGAGGCAGTGGCTTGAGACAATGGGCTTTGGGTGAGGGCCTGAGAGCCCAAGGCCACCTTACATGTTAATTCAACACCTAATTCAATATAATTCAAGCAAATTCAACTAATTCAGCTCAGGCGCTGATTCAACAGGAGACAGCCTGGGCCAGGAAGGAGGCCACAGCCAGCAGCAGGGTTCACCTCTCATCAGAAATTCTTTTTCTGAATTTCTTTTCCCCGGCCTTTAGACCACCCTGGCTGGTTCTGCATGACTACAGGACCATGCTAAGATGTTCAGGGCCTGGGGCACATTTGCCCTCCTGGGCCACATCCTTCACTCAAAAAAGTCCAAAGTTGGCCAGGCGTGGTGGTTCACACCTTATAATCCCAGCACTTTGGGAGGCCAAGGTGGGTGGATCACCTGAGGTCAGGAGTTGGAGACCAGCTTGGCCAACATGGGGACACACCATCTCAGGTGTGGTGGTGGGTGCCTGTAGTCCCAGCTACTCGGTAGGCTAAGTCAGGAGAATCACTTGGACTGGGAGGTGGAGGTTGCAGTGAGCCGAGTACACATCCCTGCACTCCAGACTGGGCAATGCAGAAAGATTCTGTCTCAATAAAAAGAAATCCAAAGCTCTATTTTACAATTGTCTTGGCATAAAGACTAACAGAGTCCAGGCTGGATTCATGATTATACAATCACAAGTATTTTATTCATCTTTTGTCAACTGGATTTTAAAACATCACTAAGGGCCCTGGACCTGGGGCTTTTGTGCCAAGGGAGGCTGGTCCTTCCTGGAGTCAGTTCCCAGCTTGAGTCTTCTCATGGAGGCCTCCTCCCCTCACTCAGGCTGGGTCACCCCAATGTGGAATGTCCAGCTCCCAGACGCACCTCCTTTGCAGCCTGGGCCACTACCCTGGAACTGTGGTGCTCCTGGCATGGAGTGGTGGAGGCCAATGACACTACTCAGCACCATGCAGTGCCCAGGATGGCCCCACCCAGAGAAGAATTGGGACCCAGGGTAGATTATAGACCAAAGTCAATCCAATTATTAAGAAGAAAGAGGCTGGGTGCAATGACTCACCCCTGTAATTCCAGCATTTTGGGAGGCCAAGGTGGGTGGATCATAAGGTCAGGAATTCCAGATCAGCCTAAGCTGGTGAAACCCATCTCTACTAAAAATACAAAAATTAGCTGGGCATGGTGGTGGGTGGTTGTAATCCCAGCTACTTGGGAGGCTGAGGCAGAAGAATCCCTTGAACCTGAGAGGTGGAGGGTGCAGTGAGCCATGATCTCGTGGCTGCACTCCAGCCTGGGTGATAGAGCAGACTTTGTCTCAGAAAAAATGGTTTTATTTTTATTTATTTAAAATTGTACTTTATTTATTTAAAATTGCACTTTTTATTTTCTTAGAGTTACCCAGGCTGGAGGGTAGTGGTGCATCCTGGCTCATTACAACTTCTGTCTCCCAGGTTCAAATGATTCTCCTGCCTCAGCCTCCTGAGTAGCTGGGATTACCAGTTCCTGCTACCACACTCAGCTAATTTTTAATTTTTTGTAACTGGGATTACAGGCACTGGCCACCAGGCCCAGCTAATTTTTAACTTGTTGTAGTTGAGATTGCAGGTGCCCACCGCCACACCCAACTGATTTTTAATTGTTTGTAGCTGATATTACAGGTACCTGCCACCACACCCAGCTAGTTTTTGATTTTTTGTATACACCTGGCATTACTCTATTGGCCAGGCTGGTCTTGACCTTCTGAGCCCAAGTGATCCTCCCGCCTCAGCCTCTCCAGGTGCTGGGATTACAGGCATGAGCCATTGCACCTGGCCTAAGAGAGATTTTTAAGTGCTTTTTTTTTGCACAGTCCTGCTCTGTTGCCAAGGAAGGAATGCAGTGATGCGATCTCGGCTCACTGAAACCTCTGCCTTCCCGGTTCAAGCAGTTCTCTGCCTCAGCCTCCCGAGTAGCTGGGATTACAGGCACCCACCACCATGACCGGCTAATTTTTGCATTTTTAGTAAAAACGAGGTTTCACCATCTTGGCCAGGCTAGTCTTGAACTCCTGATCTTGTGATCCACCTGCCTCCACCTCCCAAAGTGCTGGGATTACAGGCATGAGCCACCACATCTGGTCTGTATTTTTTACTTTATTTTTTGTTTTGAGACAGAGTCTTGGTCTGTCACATATCACACAGGCTGGAGTGCAGTGGCATGATCGCAGCTCACTGTGACTTCCACCACCCTGGTTCAAGGGATTCTCCTGCCTCAGTCTCCCAAGTAGCTGGGATTTCAGGTGCGTGCCACCACACCCAGCTAATTTTTATATTTTTAGTAGAGACAGGGTTGCACCATGTTGGCCAGGCTGGTCTCAAACTCCTGACCTTAGGTGATCCATCCACCTCGGTCTCCCAGAGTGCTGGGATTATGGGCATAAGCCACCATGTCCAGTCTTTAAATTGTATTTTTAAATAAATAATTAAATAAATGCACGTTGTGCACCATATTGCCCTCCTGCCAGCAAGCCCCACTCAGGGTGGGATCCCCTCTTGCCGTGGTCCTGGGAAGGAGCATCTCCAGTCCCCCTCCATGGAGATGGCAAGGCCTCCTGTCTGGCCATGACCAGCAGGTGGCAGCACAGCCCAGCTCCTGGGAAACCTGTATTGGCTCCAGCTCCCAGCTCCCAGAAACACCACAGTCCAGACGCTTGCTAGGGAGAATTCCTCGACCCTGAAGTCAGTCTGCTTGTAGACATCCACGATACCTGCTCCCAGTCATCAGTTCCCACTCTGTGTCTCCCAGGCTGTCTCGCCAGTGCCCCGGATGCCTGGGCTGAGCGGCTTAATAAGGGTCTGGGTGGCATGGAACTCTGGGAGCCACACCTGGGGGCATGTGGGAAGTGCCCACTTCTCAGAAAGCAGATTGGGAAATGGAAGCCACCCAGGTGAGTGCTGGGCTTGGTCATTTCTGTGAGTGTTTAGAACACTTCCCCCAAGCCTGACACATGAACTGGGTTCCTCCCCCTGCATCCCACTGCCTGACTGGAACCCAGAGTGTCAAGTTTAGTGCCCAGGAGACAAGTGTCTGCACACTCAGGCTGACTGAAAACAAACCTGGCCTTGGAGAAACATATCCCAGAGGCCACCTGGGACTCCAGGGCCAATTTGGTTCAAACCTTGTCTGAAAGCTATCAGCATCTTGCAAAACTGAATGCCAACACTTTGGGAGGCTGAGGCGGGAAGATTGTGTGAGCCAAGGAGTTTGAGACCAGCCTGGGCAAGATAGCAAGACCGCATGTCTAAAAAATAAAAAAATGAAAATAGTGGCCATGTGTGGTGGCTCATGCCTATAATCCCAGCACTTTGGGAAGTGAATGGATCACCTGAGGTCAGGAGTTCAAGACTAGCCTGGCCAACATGGAGAAACCCCATCTCTACTAAAAATACAAAATTAGCCAGGCACGGTAGTGCATGCCTGTAATCCCAGCTACTCAGGAGGCTGAGGCAGAAGAACTGCTTGAACCCGTGAGGCGGAGGTTGTGGTGAGCCAGGATCCCACTATTGCACTCCAGGCTAGACAACGAGAGTGAAACTCTGTCTCAGAAAAAGAATTCAGCTGTTTCTCATCCATCATAACTGAAAGAGCTACTTCATCCCACAGTCACTGCTCAACTGAGGACACCAAGACCACGGCAGAAAACTCATCTACCTAATGCACCCAGGCCTGTAGGGAAGGGGGCCTGAGATTGGGGGCCGGTGATGAATGCACATTCCTTCAGCCCACCCTCCCTACAGGCCACCAAAGGAACTCTGGAATTTGGAGGAGGCTGGACATAAGTCACTGCTGAACAAATGTCACTGTCACCCATGAGAAGTCCCTCAGGAAATACTTAAAAGGCCCAGGGACAGAGGGAGCCTGTTTTGTTCATACTGCCAGGAGAACTACAGGGTCATCTGCTCCTCCAAGCAGGCTCTGAAACACCTGCTACACCACTGTTACCTAGGAGAACTTTTTTTTGAGACGAAGTTTTCCTCTCTCACCCAGGCTAGAGTGCAGTAGTGTGATCTCAGCTCAGGTGATTCTCTCCTGCCTCAGCCTCTCAAATAGCTGTGACCACAGGCATGCACCACCATACCTGGCTAATTTTTGTATTTTCAGTAGAGATAGGGTTTTACCATGTTGGCAAGGCTGGTCTCAAACTCCTGGCCTCAAGTGAACCTCCCCACTCAGCCTCCCAGAGTGCTGTGATTATAGGCATGAACCACTGTGCCTGGCCAACCCAGTGTAACTTTCTATGACCCTGAACATATTCTACTTCTGCACTGTCCAATCCATAGGCACCAGCCACTTCTGACTACTGAGCACATAAAATGAGACTGATACAACTGAACACCTAAATTGCTTACTTTGTTTTAACTAATCAGAATTTAAATGCATTGGCTTGGCACAGTGGCTAAGGCCTGTAATCCCAACAACACTTTGGGAGGCCAAGGCAGGTTCATCTCCTGAGGTAGGGAGTTTGAAACCTGCCTCTCCAACATGGTGGAACATCGTCTCTACTAAAAATAGAAAAAAATTAGCCAGGTGTGGTGGCACATGCCTGTAGTCCCAGCTACTCTGGAGGCTGAGGCAGGAGAATCACTGAACCTGGGAGGCGGAGTTGCAGTGAGCCAAGATCCTGCTGCTGCACTCTAGCCTGGCAACAGAGCAAAAATCTCTGTATCAAAAAGGAAATGCAAATAGCCACATGTTACTAGCAGCTACGGCATTGGCTAACACTGCCCATGTAATCCACACCTCCACCACTGCCAAGCTATCAGTGCTTCCAGACACAGCTGAGCTCCTAGGGCCCCTCCTCATGAAGGTAGTTCTGCATAGGGTAGGGGTCATGGAGAGAGTGTGGCACCCAGCCACTTTCCCAGGGGTGTCTCCCATCTCTGCCCCAAACACCAGCTAAGCAGCCCTTGAGCCACCTACACCAGGAAGAGCTTGAAGAAGACCCTTTGTTTTTCAGGGAGACTTTTTACCCAGGAATTAACTTTAAAAACTGGTCATGCTTCAGGCAAGGTACTACCCTCTCTGTGCTTCATCATCCTAAAATGCAGGGGTGCAGCTAACGAATGTTAGACAGGTATTTTATTTCATTTTTATTAAAAATTTTTTAAATTGAGACAGTCTCAATCTGTTGCCCAGGATGGAGTGCAATGATGCAGTCTTGGCTCGCTGCAACCTCTGCCCTTCAGGTTCAAGTGATTCTCCTGTCTCAGCCTCCCAAGTAGTTGGGATTACAGGCATGTGCCAACACACCTGGCTAATTTTGTATTTTCAGTAGAGACAGGGTTTGTCCATGTTGGTCAGGCTGGTTCGTCTCCAAGTCCCGACCTCGTGATCTGCCCATCTCAGCCTCCCAAAGTGCTGGGATTACAGGCATGAATCACCGGACTCAACCTGCCAGGGCTAGATTTTTATGTACTGAATCTCATTTAAGTCTCCCACCCTTGACCCAGGCATTGTGGCCCTAGCTGCAGTCAGGGAAACTGAGGCTCAGGTCAGTGAAAGCTCCAAGTGGCCGAGGTAGGACTGAGCTACAAGGCAGGGTGGGGGTGCTAACCATGTCCCATCCTCCTGGGAGGGCAGGGACACTCACCATGGAGTCTAAGGCAGACATGAGACTAATGATGATCTCGTCTTTGAGGGAGAAAGCAGAGTTCCAGCGGTTAAGTCCACAGCTGCTGGCGGGGATGTCACAGCACTTGCCCAGCAAGACCATAGTCACCTGTGGGGAGGGAGGAGGCAGTGGTAGTGGGTATGAGGCAGGGTGCATGGCTCATGTGTCGGCCACCCACCCCAACCCACCTGGCCCCACACTCACAGACCTGCCTCTGTATCCAAGGGCAAACTTCCCTGGGCACAAGGGCTTTATGTGTGATAGGATTAAAGCCTGCAAAGGCCTGGGAACAGGTGGCAGAATAATTTACACACTGTGCCACCTCCCAAGTCTGCACCTCCAAGCCAAGCCCAGTACCATGACCAGTCTGTTGGGCAGGGCCCAACCACCATCTCTCCCCATGTATGCAGGTCTGGCCACAGCCCTTCCTCTTCATATACCCTCCATGGCTCTCTACTGCCCAAATTAGTTCTTAACTCCTCAGCCTGGTATTCTAGTTTTCTGGTCTTTTGTCCCTCACTCCAATTCCCCCTCACACTCCATGTTCCAGGTCCTCTAAGCTGTGCCACTCTCAGATGCCCCAGTGTTCACAGTTCCCTAATCTGTGTGGGTTCCATTCTTCCTGCCTCAGGCACTCTTCCTGGCCCTAGTGTCATCTGGTTTTCCGTGAAGCTTTTTTCTTTGGAGATGGAGTTTTTCTCTGTCAACTAGGCTGAAATGCTGTGGTGTGATCCTCAGTCACCTAGGCTGAAATGCCATGGTGCAATCTTGGCTCACTGCAACCTCTGCCTCCCAGGTTCAAGCTATTCTCCTGCCTCAGCAACCGAAGTAGCTGAGATTACAGGTGCATGCCACCACACCCAGCTAATTTTCGTATTTATAATACAGATAAGATTTTGCCATGTTGGCCAGGCTGGTCTTGAACTCCTGACCTCAGGCGATCTGCCAACTTTAGCCTCCCAAAGTGCTGGGATTACAGGTGTCAGCCACCACACCCAGTCTATTTTCTTAATTTTTAATTTAATTTTATTTTGAGACAATGTCTTACTCTGTTGCCCAGGCTGGAGCGCAGTGGCATAATATTGGCTCACTGCAAACTCCCCTGCCTGGGTTCAAGCAATTCTCCTGCCTCAGCCTTCCTGGTAACTGGGGGTGGGGCTCACGTGGCGGCTGCCACCACTTGTCCAGCTAATTTTTGTATTTTTAGTAGAGACAGGGTTTCACCATGTTGACCAAGCTGGTCTTGAACTCCTGATTTCATATGATCCACCTGCCTTGGCCTCCCAAAGTGTTGAAATTACAGGCATGAACTACTGCGCCCTGCCCCATAAAAGTTTTTAATTGTCCAACCTGCTGGTCCACCTCCTGTGCCCCCAACCTGAAGCCCAGCTGGGTCAGGAGATTGGGATGTCTTCCCCTTCTTTTCACATGCCTCTGAGCTTGGCCATCACATTTTTGCATCAAATCACATGCTCCTGAAGCCAATGCCATCGGCTCCAAGGCCTCCCAGCCTCAGTTTTCCTCCTTGCCATGAGACTTGGCCTCAGGGATATAGAAAGATACAGCAGGGCAGAGGCTGCTTTGTCTCAGGTTGGGGGCTCTCCAGGGCATGGCTCTGTCCCATTGCAATGGAGTTTCTGGAGAACAGAGCTGCATCATCCTACTCAAGTCTAAGTCCCCAATTGTGGCTCCCCATGGCATGGCACAGGCTTGCTGGGTATGACAGTGCTTAGCTGAGGACCCATAAGATTCAAAGATCAGCCTCCCTCAGCCTCTGGTACTACACTGCCCCTCTGCTTCTCGACCTTGGGACCACCCACAGGCTGCCTCTGTGTCAGCACCTGCCCTCCTGGCCGTTATCCCTACATCAATCCAAGCAAAGAAGGCAGAGACCAGAGGCTGGATGGCTCACTTTCCCTCTCTGGACTCAGTCCCAATATGCTCTGTGTGGCCTCTGCTGGGTACTAATAACACAGAGCAGAGCTGAGGACCCAAAAGAGCCTGTAAACCTGGTGTTGATTCCCACCTTCACACAAAGAGTTTCTGCACCCAACAGAGAGCAGAGCTGAGGACCCAAAAGAGCCTGTAAACCTGGTTACTGTCTCCCACCTGCACACAAGGAGTTTCTGCACCCAACAGAGAGCAGAGCTGAGGACCCAAAAGAGCCTGTAAACCTGGTCTCTGATTCCCACCTGCACACAAGGAGTTTCTGCACCAACAGGGTGGGGCAGGCCCAAGCAGGAGGACCGTGGTGCTGGTGCCACAAATGGCACCAGGCCTGGGATGTCTTCTGCCACCATGGCTGCCCCTGCCAACTGTAAGCTCTTTGAGGGCAGAAACAAGGTCCACCTGCTACTGTTTGCACCCCAGGGCCTGGATCAGTGCCCGATGTGCATGAGGCCCAAGGTGTATGGTCCCAGCCATAGACAGGCCTTTCAGTAGGTCATGATCTTTTGATCATTGGCTAATGACATCGAACAGGTGTCAGAGTGCACCACATTCACAAGGCCAAAGGTGACCAATCCCAGGGACAGAAACATCCTGAGAAATTAGAGACACATCAGAATTTGGCTCTGACCTCAGTTCTGGGTCTCCTCTGCTTTTTGGCTGTGGATAAATATTGATTCAAACAAACTGGCTGGTGGATGTTTGGACAAAATGTATATTGAGTTTGCTGCTAAATGTTTATAGAAAGACATTTCCTCTCTCAGGTTGCAATTTTATAGAAGCTTGAAATCTGCTGTATTAAGGGATGCAGAGACCATGGATGGGACCCACAGATGAATTAAGAGGTGGCCAGTGGCCACGGCTGGGGACATTTTATGGCATGAAGCCCATCGGAGGGTCCTGCATGCGACCAGACTTCATAGAAGATCCAGCTGAGAGGTCTGCTGGCCTGGGGGCTGGAGGGCATCGCCCTCCCCTGCCACCCCCTGCAAGCCAGTCCCTAGAGCCCTTCCCAGAAAGGTCTTAGGGCTGCCAGTCTCTCAGCTACTGAGCCCCAAATTAAATCAGGGCAAAGCAGGAGGCACCAGACTGCAATCCAGTCCTGGCCTTCTGGCCGCCCCAGAAAGCGGTCTGCTCTTTCCAGCAAGGGCTCTAATCCATTTAGGAAGGAACCAGGGACTCCAGCAAAGAGGGACAGAGAGAGAGAGAGAAGCGGGGGCTGGGCTGGGCTGCGGGGCATCCCCAGCTTCTTGTTCTGGTCATCTGGGCTTGTAGGACCCTCTGTACCAAGCCACAGCCCAGGTGGACACACTTGGGGAGTATAGAGAGAGATGGCTGCTCATTGCAAATGTCCAGGGCCTCATATGGAGGGAGAGGCAGCAAGGAGAGGGGGAAGATAAGACCCAGGCACAGGTGTGCTAGGACCACATTGGTTGAGTCATGAGACCCTTAGATTTTCAATTTGTAAAGTGAGATGGTTCTAAGCAGAAAATGAAGGCAGTGGCTGGATGCGGTGGCTTGTGCTTACAGTCCTGGTACTTTGGGAGGCCAAGGTAGGAGGATTGCTTGAGCCAAGGAGCTTGAGGCTGTAGTGAGCTATGATGGCACCATTGTACTCCAGCCTGGGCAACAGAGCAAGACACTTTCTCTTAAATAAAAAATAAAATTCTAATACCAGGGCTGGGTGCAGTGGCTCACGTCTGTAATCCCAGCACTTTCAGAGGGTGAAGCAGGCAGATCACTTGAGCTCAGGAGTTCGAGACTGACCTGGACAACATGGTGAAACCCAGACACTACTAAAAATAAAAAATTTAGCCAGATATGGTGGTACACACCTGTAGTTCCAGTTACTTGGGAGGCTGAGGCAGAGGAATCCCTGGAACCCAGGAGGCAGAGTTTTCCAGTCTGGGCAACAGAGTGACATACCATTAAAAATTTTTTTAAAGTAAGTGGGGTGCAGTGGCTCACACCTGTAGTCCTAGCACTTTGGGAGGCCAACACTGGTGGATCACGAGGTCAGGAGTTCGAGACCAGCCTGGCCGCTATGAGAAACCAGGTCTCTACTGAAAATACAAAAAATTAGCCAGACATGGTGGCATGTACCTGTAGTCCCAACTACTTAGGAGGCCAAGGCAGGAGAACTGCTTGAACCTGGCAGGCAGGATTGCAGTGAGCTGAGATTGTGCCATTGGACTCCAGCCTGGGCAACGAGTGAGACTCCATCCCAATAAAAAAAAGTAAACCTTCTGATGGTGGCACTGGCCAGCATGAGCTATGGTCCTTCCTCCAGCATCATCGATTTTAGAAACAAGAAACGCACTTGTCCCAGGCCCAGCCAGTGTGCAGTGGGGAAGAAGGCTGTCTGTCTCCAGACACATCCTTGCTGTCACCACGTGGCAGGAGGACTGAACTTCCCACATGCACAGCAATGCAGGGGACAGACCAGCTGCTCATATGTATTGCTGATACACTGGACCAGTTTGGAAGGCCAAACTGGACCTTCCCAGGCTTAGCACAGAAAGTTTCATCTCCTGGGAAACCCCTCAGTCCCAGGCCACCTAGGATGGTTGGTAATTTTGAAATACAGGGAGCAACGGGAACAGGAGCCCAGATGCTTCTCTCAGCAGCCAAAAACACAGACACTCACAAGGAAGAGAAATGTCCCAAATATACATCCTTTGGGTTGAAAAAGTCAACTTCCCTTCATAAGGTGAGAAACGTATGAGGTCACTGTAGCAGCATTCACAAGAGTAAAAACATGGAATCAATCAACATGTCCATCAGCGGTAGAATGGATGAAGGAAATGTGGTGCATGTACACCGTGGAATACTATGCAGTCATAAAAAAAGAACAAGAGCATGTCCTTTGTAGCAACTTAGTTAGAGCTGGAACTCATTATCCTAAGCAAATTAACACAAAAACAGAAAAACAAATACTGAATGTTCTTGCTTGTAAGAGGGAGCTAAATGTTGGGTACTCATGGACATAAAGACAGGAATGACTGACACTGAGGCCTCCAAAAGCAGGGAGAGAGGGGAAAAGGAGGGACTCAAAAACTACTTATTGAGTGCTATGCTCACTACCTGGATGACAAGATCAATTGTACCCCAAACCTCAGCATCATGCAATATACCTTTGTAACAACCCTGTGCCTCCAGAATTTAAAATACAAGTTAAAATTATTATTATTGTTTTTTGAGACAGAGTCTCACTGTCACCCAGATGGGAGTGCAGTGGTGCAATCACAGCTCACTGCAGCTTCTGCCTCTGGAGTTCAAGTGAGGCTCCTGCCTCAGCCTCCTGAGTAGCTGTAACTACAGGTGTCCACCACCATGCCTGGCTAATGTTTATATTTTTAGTAGAGAAAGGGTTTCCCCATGTTGACCAGGCTGGTCTTGAGCTCCCGACCTCAAATGATCCCCCTGCCTCCACCTCCAAAAGTGCTGGGATTACAGCCGTGAGCCCCCATGCCTGGCCTACAAGTTGAAATTATTAAAATAATAATAATAATGCAAGAGACTTGAAGCCCTCAAAAGGAAGAGCTGGGATGGGTGGAGGAAAATTCACTGGAAAGATCCCAGGTTCCAGTCCATGAGCTGCCAAAGAGTTGGTGTCACACCTGTACCATCCAGCTCCTGATTTTACTCCACCCACCTGTGAAGCAAGGACAGCAGGTAGCACAGCTGCTGCCAACACCTGCTATTCAACTCCCAGGCTCCTGGGCCCCACCCCATGACAAGTGAATTCTCCCTGGGCAGCAGGACCTGAGACACTGTATTTTTTTTTTTAGACAGAGTCTTGATCTGTCACGAGGTGCTGGGCTGTGCAGTGGCACAATCACAGCTCACTGCAACCTCCTCCTCCCAGCTTCAAGCAATTCTCCTGCCTCAGCCTCCTGAGTAGTTGGGACCACAGGCTCACACCACCATGCCCAGATAATTTTTTTTGTATTTTTAGTAGAGATCGAGTTTCACTATGTTGGCCAGGATGGTCTTGATCTCTTGACCTCATGATCCGCCCACCTCAGCCTCCCAAAGTGCTGGGATTACAGGCGTGAGCCATGACGCCCGGCCTATTATTTTTTGAGATGGAGTCTTTGTTACCCAGGCTGGAGTGCAGTGACATAATCTGAGATCACTGCAGCCTCCACATCCCGGGTTCAAGTTATTCTCCTGCCTCAGCCTCCAGAGTAGATGCAATTACAGGCATGCATCACCACACCTGGCTAATTTTTGTATTTTTAGTAAAGACATGGTTTCACCATGTTGGTCAAGCTGGTCTCAAACTCTTGACATCAGGTGATCTGCCCACCCTGGCCTCCCAAAGTGCTGGTATTACAGATGTGAGCCACCTCACCCAGCCTTATTATTATTGAAACAGGGTCTGGCTTTGACACCCAGGATGGAGTGCAGTGGCACAATCTTGGCTCACTTCAATCTCTGCCTCCCAGGCTCAAGCCATCCTCCCACCTCAGCCTCCTGAGTAGCTAGGATTACAAGTGTGTGCCACCATGCCCAGTTATTACATTTTTTTGTATTTTTTGTAGTGATGGGGTCTCACAATGTTGTCCAGGCTGATCCTGAACTCCTGGGCTCAACGGATCCTTCTATCTCAGCCTTCCAAAGTGCTGGGATTGTAAGCATGAAGCACTGTGCCCAGCCAGGACCAAGGGCCCTGAGAACCCCAGTTCCCAGACTTTTCCAGTACATGCCTGGCACATGCATGTGGATGGGATGGATCAATAAATAATATCAGTAATAGCCAAAATGTATGGGGTATTTAGTATTAGGCACTGTCTAGACAACTGATATATTTTAACACATTTCTAACTATGAGTAAGGTATGATTAAAATTCCCATTTTGGTCTGGCACAGTGACTCACACCTGTAATCCCAGCACTTTGGGAGGCTGAGGCAGGTAGATCACCTGAGGTCAGGAGTTGGTCAACACGGTGAAACCCTGTCTCTACTAAAAATACAAAAATTAGCCAGGCATGATGTTGGGAGCCTGTAATCCCAGCTACTTGGGAGGCTGAGGCATGAGAATCACTTGAACCCGGGAGGTGGAGGTTGCAATGAGCTGAAATCATGCCACTGCACTCCAGCCTGGGTGACAAAAGCAAAACTCCATCTCCAAAAAAGAAAATTCTATTTTACCAATACAAAGAGTGAGGCCCAGAAGGTTTAAGACACTTTCCCAGGGTCACACAACAACAGTCTCCAGAGCCCACATTACCTGTCTGTTTTGTCACTCTGTATGGTCCTGATAAGGAACAGGTGTCCCAGGCTGGACACTGTCGAAGCCCCCTTCGAGTCCCATTTCTGCCAGCCCCAGGGGTCCAGCTTGGACATGTGGGATGGAGCAGGGGAAGGAAGGGAGTCTGGGTCCAGAGCCCAGTACTGCCCACACTCACCAGCACGCAGTCCCCCAGGCACAGGTCCTTATTGCCCAGCTTCACAGAGCCACTGTCCTAGAGGTGGGAGCCCCACTCATTGACCACCTTCATGGAGTTGTTGAGGATGCTCTCCTGCAGCAGGATGATGTGGCTGCTTAGCAGGAGCATGGCCATGCCCAAATGCAGTGACAGGTTCTGGGTAGTCAGCAACTCCACAGAGTGGGCATCACTACCCAAGTCCTCAGCCATGGGCTGCCAGGGCAGCTGGAAGGGCCACATGAAGATGCTCTGGAGGGCTGGGCACTTGAAGTAGTGCACACTGCTCACCACACCATCATTCTTGCCCACTGGGTCATCCAGCACCACACAGGCCCACTGGCCTGGTGCCAACTGCATCTCACCCAGGTACTGCACCATATCTGGCTTCACACCAGACTGGTTGCCCACCATAAAGTCCCCCAGGAAGTCATTGCCCACTTCTGCTGACTTGGGGCCTGGCTTCTCAGGGGCAGCAGCTGTGGCCAGGGAGAAGGAGGGTCCTGATGACTGCTTGTACAGGGTGGAGCCTGCGGAGAAGAAGAAGAGGGAAGGAGGTGGCTGTTAGGGTTGGCCTCAGACTGGCGCCTGGGTGGCCACAGGAGCACAGAGTCTAGGGTTTGGAAGTGGCTGATTTGTATTTTTTGGTAGAGATGGGAATTCACCATGTGGGCCAGGCTAGTCTTGAACTTCTGACTTCAAGTGATCTGCCCACCTCGGCTTCCCAACGTGCTAGGATTATAGGTGTGAGTGACCACATTCAACCCATATTTACTTACTTTTTGAGACAGGGTCTTGGTCTGTCACCCAGGCTAGAGTGCATTGGCCAGATCATGGCTCACTGCAGCCTTGACTTCTGGGGCTCCAGCAATCCTCCTACCTCAGCCTCCTGAGTAGCTGAAACCACAGACACCTGCCATTCCACTGGGCAATTTCTGCATTTTTTGTAGAAATGAGTTCTCACCATGGAAACTGAGGCAGGCATGGTGGGCTGTCTCCCCCTACTACTCCAGCCCTCCAGACAGTCCCCAGGAAATTATGCCCTCTGAAGCAATGTTTCCAGGCTGGGTGTAATGGGTTATGCCTGTCATCCCAGCACTTCAGGAGGTTGAGGCCGCTGGATCACCTGAAGTTGGGAGTTCAAGACCAGCCAGACCAACATGGTGAAACCCTGTCTCTAGTAAAAATAAAATAATTAGCTGAGTGTGTTGGCATGTGCCTATAATTCCAGCTACTCAGGAAGCTGAGGTGGGAGAATCACTTGAATCCAGGAGGTAGAGGCTGCAGTGAGTAGAAATCATACCACTGCACTCTAGCCTGAAGGAAAGAGAAAGACTTCATCTCAAAAAAAAGAAGAAGAAGAAGAAGAAGAAGAAGAAGAAGAAGAAGAAGAAGAAGCAGCAGCAGCAGCAGCAGCAGCAGCAGCAGCAGCAGCAGCAGCAGCAGCAGCAATGGCTTCCCACTGCTCAAGGAAACTTTAAGTCCCGGGCCAGGGCTGAAGTTGTTCTCAAGGGTTATGAGCCACCTTTCCACTGGGTGGGCTCTGGCCCTCATCTGTTGACCAGAGAAACCCCACCCCATATTCCCCATGTGGGACCCAGGTGTTGTGCAAGTGGTGAGAGCCCCATGATTGCATTGCTGCACTCCAGCCTGAGCAACAGAGTGAGACCCCATCTCTAAAAAAATCATTAAAATAGGCTGGGCATGGTGACTCATGCCTGTAATCTCAGCACTTTGGGAGGCTGAGGTAGGCAGATCACTTGAGGTCAAGAGTTCAAGAGCAGCCTGGCCAACATAGCAAAAACCTGTCTCTACTAAAAATATCATAATTAGCCAGGCATGGTGGCAGGTGTCTGTAATCCAAGTTACTCAGGAGGATGAGGCAGGAGAATCACTTAAACTCAGGAGGAAGAAGTTTCAGTAAGTTGAGATCATGCCACTTCACTCCAGCCTGGGTGAAAGAGCAAGACTCTGTCTCAAAAAACAAAAAACAGCCAGATACTGTGGCTCATGCCTGTAATTCTAGCACTTTGGGAGGCCAAAGCAGGCAGATCACTTGAGGTCAGGGGTTCAAAACCAGCCTGACTAACATGTTGAAACTGTGTCTTTACAAAAAAAATTTAGCTGGATATGGTGGCCAGTGCCGGTAATCCCAACTACTCTGGAGGCCTGGAAGCTGAGGCAAGAGAATCAGCTGAATCCAGGAGGTGGATGTTGCAGTTAGCTGAGATGGGCCATTGCATTCCTGCCTGGGTGACAAGAGTGAAACTCCATCTCAGGAAAAAAAAATACACACAAAACAAAAAAAAACAAACAAACCAAAAAATTAAAATAAACCTCCTACATGTAGTTGATCCACTCCCTGGACAGTGATTCCTGCTCAGACAAGAGATACAAAGGAATTGACTCCAAAATTCAAGTTGAAAGCATGACAAGGGCCTAGGAACACCAGGGGAGGGTGGCTAAAGCTGACAGCATAGTCCTGTAGCTGGTAGAGATAATGAGGGTGCCCAGATGACCCATTGTCCTCTCTGTCTGCAAGGATGCGGGTCCTGCCCTGCCTGAGGAAGTGGGGACTGGCCTTTTCCATACTTACCCAGTCTCACCAGGATGGATTCCATTTCCTGAGTACCTACTAGGTCAGACCCTGTGGACAAGAGGCATGGCCAAACGGGGCCTGGAAAGGTGATAGAGTGCACATGCCAGCAGCTACAAATCAGCTTGCCATGCCACCTCTGTAATTGAGGAAGGGACCCAAAGTGTGGGACCCAGGGGATGGGGAGAGGGACTTCACCTTAAATGGAGGTGTGGGTATTTCCCATGACCTCTTGCCTCAGAAAGTCACAGAGCTGACTTTCCCACCTCCTCAGGCATGGTGGCTCATGCCTGTAATCCCAGAACTTTGGGAGGCAGAGGCCAGCAGATCATGATATCAGGAGATCAAGACTATCCTGTCCAACATGGTGAAACCCCATCTCTACTAAAAATACAAAAATCAACCAGGCATGATGGCACATGCCTGTTGTCTCAGCTACTCAGGAGGCTGAGGCGGGAGAATCGCTTGAACCGGGAGGTGGAGGTTGCAATGAGCTAAGATTATGTCACTGTGCCTCAAAAAAAAAAATTAAGTCGTGAGCCTAGCATGGTGTCTCACACCTGTAATCTTAGCACTTTGGGAGGTCAAGGGAGAAGGATCACTTGAGGGTGGGAGTTGGAAAATAGCCTTGGGCAACACAGAGAGACTGTCTACAGAAAAACTGAAGAATAACCGGTGCAGTGGCATCCAGCTGTCATCCCAGCTACTTTGGAGACTGATGCAAGAGGATTGCTTGAGCCCAGGAATTGGAGGCTGCAGTGAGCTTTGATCATGCCACTGTACTTCAACCTTAGCAACAGATTCAGATTCTAACTCAACAAAAATAAAAAATTAGCTGGGCATGGTAGCACATGTGCTTGTAGTCCCAGCCACTCAGTAGGCTGAGGTGGGAGGACGGCTTGAGGCTAGAAGGTCCAGGCTGCAGTAAGCTATGACTTGCCATTGCACTCCAGCCTGGGCAAAAGCGAGACTCTGTCTTAAAAAATTTTTTTGAAAGGCATCAACCAGTGAAAAATGATAATATCATAGAGGAGAACAGGCATAGAAGACATTTTTAGGAATTTGAATAAAGACCATACATTAGATAAGAGGGAATTAAGTTTTATAAGTATGAATATACTATTGTGAATATGTAACATATATAATGTTTTTCTTAGGAGAGGTGCATTGAAATATTTAGGCATGAATAAATAGTCAAGGTGATTGCAACTTACTTCAAATGGAGAAAAAGAAATTATGTGTGCATGTGTGTGTGTGAGAGAGAGAGAGACAAAGAGACAGAGACAGAGAAAGAGAGAGAGAGACAGAGAAAGAAAGAGAGAGAGAGATGGTGGGGAGAGAGAGAGAGATGGGACGGGGGGAGAGAGAGAGATAGTGGGGAGGGACAGAGAGAGAGAGAGAGAGAGAGAGAGAGAGAGAGAGGAGGCAGGGAAAATGGCATGCTGAGAATTACTAAACCCAGCCAGGCAAGGTGGCTCATGCCTGTAATCCCAGCACTTTGGGAGGCCGAGGTAGGTGGATCACTTGAGGCCAGGAGTTCAAGACCAGCCTGGCCAATACTATGAAACCACGTCTCTACTAAAAATACAAAAAATCAGCTGGGTGTGGCGGCAGGTGCCTGTAATCCCAGCTACTTGGGAGGCTGAGACAGAAGAATCACTTGAACCTGGGAGGCAGAAGGTTTAGTGAGCTGAGATTTCACCACGGCACTCCAGCCTGAGTGATGGTGCAAGATTTTCATTCAGAAAAAGAAAGAAAGGAAAAAAAAATGGAGGCCCAAAGACACCATTAACTTATCCAAGATCAGACACAGTAAGTTGACTTATCTAGATCAGAGATAGTAAGTTAACTTATCCAGTATCACAGGTAGCAAGTTAACTCATCCAAGATCAGAGACAGCAAGTTAACTTATCCACGATCAGAGATTGTGGGTTAACTTTTCTAAGATCACACAGCTCAAAAGTGATGGTACTGGTTCTTGAGAAGGCTAAAAGAGACCTATTCCTGTGCCTGCCACTGTTCAGTCCCTCCCCATGTCCCCCCAGTGCACTCTGCAGAGGTCAACCCTAAACTACCATCCAGGCCTGGCTCAGGTCATCTTCTCCAGGAAGCCCATCTCACCACAGCACCCACTGTGTGATAGGACGCCCCATAGAAGAGACAGGCTTAGCAGGAGATCAAAGAGAACAATGACAAGTGGTGTCACTGCATTTGATGATTCTGGCCTTTCTCCACTTGTACCCCCTGAAAATGGGATCACAGCCCTCTGCCTAGCAGACCTTTCACCCACAGCTGAGCTTCTCAAAATGGGCCTCAAACAATTATGGGGGGTGAGAGATGAGTGTTAAGTGGAATGATCTTCTTCAGCAACACATTTTTTTTCTTTTGAGACAGTCTCACTCCATTGCCCAGGATGGAGTACAGTTGCAAAATCATAGCCTACTGTAGCCTCCAACTACCAGGCTCAAGTGATCTTCCCACCTCAGCCTCCCAAGTAGCTGGGACTACCGGCACACGCTACCATGTCCAGCAATTTTTTTTATTTTTTGTAGAGACGAGATCGCATTATGTTTCTTAGGATGGTTTCAAACTTCTGGATGCAAGCGACCCTCCTGCCTTGGCCTTCCAAAGTGCTAGGATTATAGGTGTGAGCCACTGCACCCAGCTAGCAGCATGTAATTTGATGTATTTCCTTAAATTGAGACAAAAATTGAAAGCTTAGAGAGAAGATGATGTGGGAATGTCCTAGATAAAGCTGGAGCCCGCCAAGAGCTTGGCCCTGGCCAGTGGGACTGTACAGGCTCCTCAGCCATAGGGACATCAGCAGAAGAGCTTGCCAGGGCCAGGCCTGAAGGGTCCAGTCCATGCTGCAAAGCCAGGCCTTGCAGGCCCTCCACACTCCAGGCTGGCAGGCATCTCTGCCCCACCACCTCC